CAAAAGGAAGGAGAAAATTCTCAGTGTATTGAGATTATAGAGGTTATTGGAAAGGTCAGGGCAGAAAGGTGCTATAGAGTGAAAAAGGGTGACACCCCTCTGCTGAGATTTTCAATAGCCTTTAGAAAACTGGTGTGATCCTGTATTTGAAAACACTAGTCACATAGGGGCACTAGAAAAAGTTGTTGAATTGCAAGGAAATTTGATCTTGGAAAATCCTCCAGGAACAAAGAGGGCTAATGTCATAAATTATAATAGTTGCTCTTTTCTTAGTACCTATTATGTAACCGTTAACGGGAAGGTCCACAGATGCTCAAAACACTTCATGTTTTGCTCTCTATCCTTGTCTCATACGGAAGCTACCTGCCAGTGGTTACAAAGGGTCATGTGACTATCCTTGACACTGAAGTATGAGCAAAAGCATGCCTCTCACCTCCAGACAAAGGTATTTGAGAACTAGTGTGCCACCTCCATGCTTTTTGTTTCATTGAGCAGCAAACATGCCGAGCCTATATTGAGATGTGGAAGCTCATGATGGAAGCACCCTGGATCCCAGGGTCACCTGAAAATGAAGACACCCTGCCAATGCCCATCGGATTTTATGTACATAAGAAATAAAATTTTGTTATGTTAAGTCATTCACAATCAGATTTTTCATATACTTTATCTGAAAACTACACAGATACTATTTCTGTTCTCTTATTTAAATATTTTAATTACAAAGCAAATAGGGCATATATTCTTGTTGCCAAAAAATTCTAACAATAGGGATAGATTATAATTCTTTTTCCTTACTGTGTTCCCTCAAATTTTATCCCTTCCTAGAGGTAACTGCATTAAAAAATCTTGTGTGTAATATTTTAAGACTGATTCTAGGCCTATTCTTACATACATGTGTTAGAAAAATACACTGTGAGTTTTAAAAATACATGTGTAACACTATACATATCATTTTGCCTCTCTCCCTTGTCCCTGAATAAAATAAATGCAGGATTTTTCCAAGAGAGCACAGATAGATCCACCTCACTGTTTTAATTCTAGAATTCTAAAATGCATATGTGCCATAATTATTTTAAACATTCTCCTCTTGATGGACACACAAGTTGTTTCTCACATCTTGCTATGATTAAGGGAACTGATATCAACATTACTGAACATCATTTTTTGGGCAAATGTGGATGTTTTATTATGGAGAGATGTAGAAAAATGCAATTAAAGTGGAAAGAATCTGATGACAGTGAATTTTTATGAATATTGATGATATTCTATTCTAATAATGTTATACCAAATTATCTTTTCATATATTTATATATGTGAATAAATTAAGCTCTCAGTGGCATTTTATTTAATCAATTTTAAATTTTGGGCAAACTTTTGATTGAAAATATATTATCTCTCTGCTAGTTTAACTTGTATTTCCCTATTTTCTAAACAGATTAAGCAGAAAATTAATTTCATCATTCACCCATATAAAGCAAGATTTCTGCAGTGATATCTTAAGTACTAGGATTCCTTTGGGTGCATGGTTTAAAATTCTATGTCCAGGGCACCTGGGTGGCTCAGTTGGTTGGGCGACTGCCTTCGGCTCAGGTCATGATCCTGGAGTCCCAGGATCGAGTCCCGCATCGGGCTCCCTGCTCAGCGGGGAGTCTGCTTCTCCCTCTGACCTTCCTCCCTCTCATGCTCTCTCTCTACCATTCTCTCTCTCTCTCAAAAAATAAATAAAAATCTTAAAAAAAAATTCTATGTCCATAAGACTTTCCCCTTTACTTTGAGAAGCTAGGATTTATCAGAATGACCAGGTGCCAGGAAATGGGCCTGGACAGGAAAGCATCAGTGAGTGAGAAACTTCAGGAGGACCAGGGGTGGAGGAAGTAGAGCAATTTCCAGAATCCATGAGAGAGATCACATACTAAAACAAGACCAGAGAACCCAGGGCAGCTGGCAGTCAGGGATCTGAATGCAGGCTTCAGCAAAGAATAGAAAAGATGCCAGAAGGAGAGAACATGGAGAATCTGGTGGAGGGTACCAGACAGCTTACATGGATAGGCTAGGAAATCTCTGAATCATCACTGCCAGCCCAAAGTTGTAGAGTGATATAAATGTACGGTAGATGTGCTGGATAAAAGGACCAGAAGCATGCCCGATACCCATCCCCAACCCCCCCACCTCCGCCAAAAATGCCCCCTGACCACTGTCAGACAGAGTAGAGTTGGCTCCCCTGTGTCACCCACCAAGTAATGTTACTGATGGAATCTGAAAGAGCTATAGCTCTTCACTACTCTAATGGTTCCATGCATCCTTGCCAGTGACCAAAGTTATGAGTGATCTTGATGCCTGATGAAGGCTATTTGTTCCCCTATGTATGTGGCCCTCCCACCACTGAGATTGAAGCTATGCAAGCAGGTGGGTTTGGTTGGTGAATCAGAATGTTTAAAATAGGGCAAGTATTACCAATGAGTGCTGGAAGGGGGTGTGCAGCTGCAAGGAGGGAAAACTAGAGGGGGAATTCGTTGAGACTAATTACCCCAGTGGCCCTGGGAATAAAGGACTGACTGTAGACATGCCTTGAAAAACAACCCAGGTGTTATCCTCAGCTCTGATTACCTCCCATGGTTCCTGACTTCTTTGCACACCAGAGGGCAGATGTACTCTGGCTGTGTTTGGTGGTCTATGTTGCTACCAGATACTGACTGGAGTTGGGGGTGGGCACACAATGCAAACGTTTACAGGGTGTACAAAAAGCTACTCATGGAGATGGTACACTTCCTTGTTAAGCTGGGAATGATGGGTATATGTGAAGTCCAAAACTCCATTATCGCTATAACCCCAATTCAATTGAACTGAAATTTTAAAAATATTTAATAAAAAAGATTAACAACAGGATTCTGGACTAACCATCCCAAAATTATCACACAATCTACAGAAAATTTTATATCATCATCCTCAGGCCAATAGAGGGAAGGGTCCCAGATCCTAAGAACTAAAAGTGAAGACTCTGAGGGAGTTCTTTGGGAACCACTCCACCCATAACATAATGGACCTACACAGACCTGTCCCTCCTATCAGCACTTCTAAGGCCATGACTGACTCTTAGGTCCAGGCACTCCCTCACTTCACCCTCTGGCAACCGGGAATGGAGGGTTGGAGGGTGGGATGCCTGGGGACAAAGTCTTGGCTTAAGGCTGGCTGACTCAAATTAGGGGATGTTCAAGTCCCAGACATCTCAGGAGTCAATGAAAGACCTCTATGTGAGTTTTGCCAGGTCCTCCACCCCCACAAAATAGACTCCACCTCTCGCCTCCAAAAGCCACACCCCTGCCCTCAGCACCATATGGGAATGACCGGAAGTAGATCCCCCAACTTCCGTCTCTAACTTCTCAGAGAAGTGGAAGTATTGTTCCGGCAGGTGGCGTCAAGTGAGCAGAACGCTCGGGAAGAGTTACAGGCCCTGTCTGGAATTAGGGTAAAGACCCTGAATGAGACTTGAGGGTACACCCCCCCATCCCTCACACCATGCCCTGGGAACGTGCATGCCCTGGTGCGGGCACACACACCAGAAGAAAGGGGGGCTGCCAGAATCCTGGTAGGCCCCGGACAAGGATTACCTGATGTAGTGCCCTTTGAATTCCCCTTTTGTGGACAGAGAGTAGATGGTATCAGACCAAGAGTTGGCATCGGCCCTTCCAGCAGTTAAGATGAGGACCCTAAGGTCTGAGGGAACCATCCGCAAGCTGAGAAAGGCTGATCAAAACCCGGGCCCCTGCTGTGAGGCCTGGGAGACCCCTGATGGGAGTTGCTGGATATAATACACCCAGAATTCTGCCTCTGGTATCTCAGGGAAGTGAAAGAATTGGTACTTAGGGGACAGTGTAAGTTACAGGGAGAAGACCCAGACTCTGTCAGGAGGTAAGATAAGGACCTTTGTGAGTTATGAGGATACCTAGTATCCAGTGAGAGTGGGCTGCACAGAATCGGGGCCTGCCATCAGCAACAGTGGGCCTGGGGTAAGGAACACCTGATATAGTAACTTCTAAATTCTTCCTTTGTAGATTCTAAAAGGAGATGGCACTGGGCCAAGGTTTCTGGCCTCAGGTCAATGGGTAGAAAAGTCCGAGGTCCTAACATAAGTAAAGGTGAGGACCCTGTGAGTGAGGTCCGAGTAACCTCCCACCCCCAAAAGATGGGTTTTCGCAGAGTCCTGACACTGCTCTCAGCCCAGGGAGGGCCAAGGTGAAAGTGGTTGGATGCAAAACATCCTGAATTCCAAAATCTGGCATTTCAAAAAAGTGAATGGCTTCATGTGAGAGGAGCTGCTTTAGATTATCAGAAGAACTACTTCTAGGTCCTGCCAGGAGGTCATGTAAAAACCATGAGTGAAGTTTGAGGGGACCCCTTACCACAAAAGGTAAGGGGTCCCACAGATTTCTGACAGGTCCTGGGCAGAAATTGCCAGATGAAGCATCCATTGAATTCTCCTTGTGAGAACTTAGAGAGGTGAGGGCATTGGACTGGAGCACCAGCCTCAGACCAGCAGAAGGAGGAGTTACAGGTTCTAACAAGAGTAATGAGAAAGACCTTGACTAAGTTCTGAGAAAACCATTGACTTATATCAAAGCAGGCCTGCACAGAGTACTAACCATGCTGTAAGCCCTCAGGGTATCAGACATATATATCAGTTAAGGGCTCCCTAATGACCTCCTCAGTAATTTTTTAAAATATAAGGGCCTTGTCTTAAAAAGATAAGTCTCAAACCAGGAGAGGGAAGAGTACCAAGCCCTACCAGAAGACAAGGTGAGGACCCTGAGTGAGGAGTAAGGACCTAATTACCCCAGTATGGGGAGAGTCCTTCTGAGCTCTTCCCTTATTGTCATTCTTGGGAAGATATGGTCAGTTGAAGTCTCCCTCAATTTCTCCTCTGGAATCAAAGGGAGATGAAATATTGAAATGAGGTCAGTATGAAAACAGTAAAGGGATCACAGAAGCTACCAGAAGCCAAGATGATAGACCTGAAAGTGAAGTGAGAGAAACACACTCACCCCAGAGGGGCCACCATAAAGCCTGGATATTCTAGGCCTTGCTGTCACCCCAGAAAGCCCCAGGCAGATCTGGCAGGTAGCAGTTTAAGGTGAACTCTAGTTACTTTCACAAGGTTCTCAGGAAACAGGCTGAGAAGAGAACATGAACATTGTGGATTCCTTGAGCAGTGCACACAAGAAAACCTACAGAGATAGCCATCAATAAAGCCAAGGAGGTATCCCCTTATGAACGGGAACACACCATCTTATCCTCTTTCCTCCAGGTCACTGGTTCACCTGTCCACATCTCTGCTGCACCTGAACAGAGTTATCATGCCTCGGGGTCAGAAGAGTAAGCTCCGGGCCCGTGAGAAACGTCGCCAGGCCCGAGAAAGGTCACAGGATCTGGTAAGTGTTCAAACCACTGCTCAATTGCACTCCTCTTTCTCCCCTCATTTTGAGGACATTCCCTTAGAGCTCACCTACTGAATCATTTGCAATCCCCAGGGTCCTCAGACAGCCACATTCACCACCAGTACGGCAGCCATGTCATACATGAGATCAAATGAAGGCACCAACGAAGTACAGGAAATGCCAAGATCCTCCCAGAACCCAACAGCCACTGAGCCCTTCAGTAGAAGCCCTCTAGGGGAGAAGGTATTTATATTGGTGTACTACTTGCTGTACAAATATCAAACAAAAGAGCCCATTACCAAGGCAGGTATGCTGAGAAATGTAATTCAGATCTACAGGAATTACTTCCACGTGATCTTCAGGAAAGCCTCTGAGCACTTGGAGCTGGTCTTTGGCCTCGACATAAAGGAAGTGGATCCCAATAGGCACATCTATGTGCTAGTCAACAAACTGGAACCAAGCTATGACGGGAAGCTGAGTAGGGATAGTAATGTGCCTGAGACTGGTCTGCTGATGACTGTTCTGGGAGTGATCTTCACAAAGGGCAACTGTGCCACTGAGGAGCAAGTCTGGGAAGTGCTGAATATGATGGGGTTATACCCTGGAAGGAAGCACTTCATTTATGGAGAGCCCAGGAAGCTCATCACCAGAGATTTGGTGAAAGAAAATTACCTGGAGTACAGGCAGGTGGTCAACAGTGATCCTCCACGCTATGAGTTCCTGTGGGGTCCCAGAGCCCTTGCTGAGACCAGCAAGATGAGAGTTCTTGAGTTTCTGGCCAAGATACATGATACCGTCCCCACTGCCTTCCCATTCTATTATGAAGAGGCTTTGAGGGATGAGGAAGAGCGAGCCCAAGCCAGAGCTACAGCCAGGGCTCTTATTGCTGCCAAGGCCAGTGCACGCTCCAGGGCCATGGCTAGCAGCTCCTCCCACCCCTAGTAAAGTCTGAGGCAGATTCTTCATTTTGTTGTTAAAAAAAAAATCCATATTCTCATTAGTGGAAGGTCAGTGTGGGGTAGAGACAACAGAGTGTATAACATGTTTATGTTCCTATTCTATGTGTTAACCTAGATAAATTTTTCATTTTCAAAATTTGAAATTTTTCAAAAGGAAAAACCCTTTTGATAGAAGGTTTATTAGTTTAAAAAGTCCATGATCTCACTAGTGGAAGGTCAGGGTGGGGTAGAGACAACAATGTATAACACGTTTATGTTCTTCCATATGTTAATTTTTAATTGTTTTTCCTTTTGATAGGTTTATTAGCTTCAAAAATCCAAGTTTATGAATGACATTTTCAAATTTGTACTGTCTATGAGATTTAAGAGTAAGAGATGGCTATTTTGTAATCCAAATTGGGAAATTCCTAATCTTATTTACTGATTTAGAACATGATAACATGTCAGTGGATTAGGTATTTCCTTGGAAATGTGAGAGTTCAGCAGTAAAATACTTGGAGTCAAGAAATAGAGAAAAAAGTAAAAGATGGCTAAATATTGCATTTTTTTTCACTTTTAGTTTAAAACTAAATGATATTGCCTGTATACATATACATATATATTATTTAAGAATGTAGAATTAATTATAGCATAATAAATTAGACCTCTTGCACACTGTCTCATTTATTTCGCAGACATTCCTTCAGCATCTGCTCTTTGGGAGGCTTCCTGCTAGTACTGGTAGTGTCAGGATAAACAAGACCCACCCACTGTGCCCATAGAATTTTAGAGTGTAGAAACAGCTGTCAAGTAGGAAAGAGGATGGGATACACCCTAAGACCTAAGAACAAGTCAAAAGAAGGAGAGGACTTGGGAGGATCCAGATGTGAGAAGTCAAGTATAAGTGCCCTGAGGCCAGTGAGTCTGAGGCCTTGGGAAACTGCAAGTCGTTTGGTGTGAGTCAGTTTTACCTGAAGCTGGGTGGTGGATCAGAT